CGGCGGCGACGTCCGCGTCCGTCGAGAGCATGGCGTCCGCGTGGCTCTGCTCGGCCCAGGACGCGAGCTGCGCGCCGTAGTCGCTCGACTCGCTCGCGCGGCTCGCGGCGCGCCGGAGTTGGATTTCGCGCTCGTCGCGCGACGCGACGTGCTCGCGGAGGTGGCGCCGCGCCGTCGCGGACTCGCGCCGGCACCACTCGTGCATGTTGAGCGCCTCCTGCGCCGTCGCGAGCCACGCGCGCTCGTCGGCGCAGACCCGCAGGAACGCGTGCGCGCCCTCGCGCAGGGGCACGGCCTTTTTCGCGGCCTCCTCGCGCTTCGCCTTCAAAGCCGCGGACAGGGGCCGGTCCTCGCAGAGCGCCTCGGCGACGTCGACGGCCGCGCGGCCGCTCCGCGCGAGCGCGACCTTGGCGTCCGCGGCCGCGGACGTCGACGTCTCGCAGGACGTCAAGAGCCGCTCCATGCTCACGACCCAGGCCTGCAGGTCCTCGGCGCGCCGCTTCGCGTCGCGGTCCGCGTCGTCGGCGTGCGCGTCCGCGCCCATGCCCAGCGCCTCCGTGACCTGGAGCCAGGAGGCGCCGACCTGCACCGTGGCGGGCGCGAGGCCGCCGTCGCGCTCCGCCTGGGCCCGCCGCGCGGCCCACTCCTCGGGCTGGTCGTAGAGGAACCCGAGGAGCAGCGGGTCCCGCCGGATGAGGTCGAGCGACGTCGACCGGTCCAGGAAGGCCTGCATCGTGTCCATGAGCGACACCTCCATGTCCGCCGTCAAAGGCTTCCCGCCGCTCAGCACGCTGTGCGGCGACTCGGCGTAGGCGACAAGCGGGCCCGGCGGCACGCAGAGGCCCGGCAGCTTCATGAGCAGCGCGCGGCGCAGCCAGTTCGCGTCCTCGAGCGACCGCGTCACGCGCACGGGGCCCGCGCCGCCGGGGCCCGCGCCGGCCGCGTGCGCGAAGATGGGGAACTTCCAGACGACGCTCGCGCCGCCGAGCATCTCGGCCTTGATGGGCGCCTCCACGGCGACGCGCGCCACCTCGGGCAGGTCGCGCGGCACGCTGGCCGACGACGCCGAAGCGCCGAGCATGGAGGAGACGAAGTCCATCGTGTCACGGCGACGCAGCGACGGCGCGCTCGACGACACGCGAGGTCGATCACTCGCAAGCTTTCTTAGCGGCAACATATGTTCAAGCTACTTCCAGTTGAAGCTCCCAAGAATCTGATCGAGGCGATGGCAGCCCTCTTGCCCCCACTCGCCCACGTGCGCGCCGCAGGCGTGGCGCAGGGTCTCGCCGACGTGCGCGCCGCCGGCACGGCACAGGGCCTCACCGACGTCGGCGCGCCGCCGCATCCCAGCGACCTGTACGACTACGGCGCCATCGCCGAGGACCAGGGCGCACTCCCGGCGACGCCGGAAGAGCTCGCGCATGCGAAAGCGACCTTCGACCGCGACGGCCTCGTCGTGTTCAGCCGAGGGCTCGAGGCGTCGGCTCCCGCGCTGCGCGCCGCCGTCGACGCCCTCAAGGACGGCAGCAACGCGGACTTCCGCGACGCGCTCCTGGCGCAGCGGCGCGCGCGCGGCGGAGCGCCGCCCGACTTCACGAACGGCGCGAAGATCCCCTGGGTCCAGTACGAGGCGGGCTGCGAAGTCGCCGAGCCCCTCGAGCCCGGCGCCGGCGTCGAGCGACAGGAGTGAGTTTTCGTGTGAAAATCCGACCCCGTCGCACTCGGTAGGCCCGGCGCCGGCGACCGCATGCGCAAGGCCATGGGCTTCGCCAAGTACTCGCGGCCGATCCGCGAGCGCGCCGTCGAGGACCCGCGCTTGAACTCGCTCGTCCGCGCGCTCCTCGGCGACGCCGACTTCGAGCTGTACCAGGACATGGCCCTCCTGAAGCCGCCGGGCGGCGGCCGCGAGAAGCCGTGGCACCAGGACGCGGCCTACTTCAACCTGGCCGCGGACGCGCGCGTCGTCGGCTGCTGGATCGCGCTGGACGCCGCGACGCCGGACAACGGGTGCCTCGTCTTCGAGCGCGGCGGCCACGCGCGCGGCGAGCTGCCCCACTTCCCCGTGCGCGACTACCAGCTCTGCGACGCGGAGCCGCGGCGCGACGTCGTCGCCTGCCCGCTGCCGCCCGGCGGTTTGGTGCTCTTCCACGGCCGCGTCCCCCACGGCACGGCGACGAACGCGTCGCCGCGGCCGCGGAACGCGCTCCAGCTCCACTGGGTCGCGTCGGCGACGGCGGCCCTCGTGCCCCAGGACGCGCCCGGCGGCCGCGTCGCGCGCTTCGGCGGCGCGGCCCGGGGGCTCGCCTGCTAATAAGTCCCTTCCTTTTACGTCGACCCCTTGAGGCAGACGCGGACGTCGCCGTCGTCCGCGCGCGTCACCAGCAGATCGTCGTCCGCGTAGACGACGACGAGGT